AGATGTTCATGTTTCGCGTGCTTAACTCTGTGCCCTATAGCAATGAGCAGGGAGCGAAAGACTTTATTGCTAGTCTGCATTCATTCGTAACGTGTAATCTGCTTGTTGGATTGGCTGTGCTTGTATCGTGGAAGCAGTTTGGTGGGAGTCCTATTGAATGCATGGTACCTCCGGATTTTACAAGTGCTTGGGTTGAGGTGGGATCTTAGAAAATTGCTCGTGTGCGGTATTTCATCAAACGCTATCGACAAAAGGAATTATCTCATAATTTTTTGGCGTAGAATCAATATGGTTGGGCAGTATCAGACGGTATTAGTAATAATGTGAAAACTCGTCAACGGGAGCCTTTTTCGCATTGTACACTCGGTATGATCCGAACAAAGGAAGAAATATTCTGATAAATTTCCGTCATTGTGAAGCACAGAAATCAAAGTTCTCATTAGTTGTTCGCAGTGGTAGTTTCTTTAAGCAGACAAAACTTGTCATTTATAGAGATTGTTACAGACCTGACGGGCTAATGCTACTTTGTTCGCAGCGAAGGCAAATAAAGCTTCACAGACTGGCTTTCAGCGGTATTAAGACATGGAAGTCCATCCTTATTTGCCTTTCTAATCGTGTTCTTTTTTGTTGAGTTATGATGGCGTTTAAAAGGACCTGCATGGTTCTATGTGAAATTTCAAAATTGTCATGTTTATATTGCTGCGAAAAACGCACCCGCAGTCGGGCTCAGAGGAATAAACTTCAAGCAAATCTTCACATGTCTTCGTGTTTTTTTTCTTATCAAGGATCCTAGTTAAAAGCAGTGTCCAGGCAAATTTCCAACTCCTGAGTTTTCTACATTTTCTGGACGATTTTAGTGCAGAAATCAAATTATACCACGAAACAATCAAATCGGAGATTTAAACCATTCTTGGAGTGACGGGGAGGAGTTGCGGCGGCGGGAATTCAAGTTTTCGACTTTCGCTTCCGAAAAGATCACATGCCTTTCTAGCTAAAGAGCACAGCATTTAAGAGAAGTCAAATATAAGCGTTTTATTAGCCTTTATTTTCAGCGAAGGCTACGTCTTCTAAGACTGGCTGAATTGAATGTGCTTCTTTAATTCAGTATCTCAATCAAAAGTTATTGGAGGTTTTCTCTTACCTTGGCCAGCTTCTCCGATGCTTATCCCATAAATGAATTTTTGACTTACATCAGTCTGTGGCCACAGAAGCCTACCAAGATATCTTACTTTGGTTTCCTATATAGTCTGCTTGTTTCGATGAGAGGTCTACGTACTTCCGCGTGCTAAGGCGTCGACGCGCGGGTACCTTTCAGGCCGCAGCGCTCTTGTGGCGTTCCATCGAGAGCATGTATAGTCAACTGCTAATACAAAGTAACAAAACGCTTGCGGGCAAGCAGGCCGCACGCCGCCACCGAGTTACAAATGCGAGAAATATGGAAATCGTACTTTGCAGCAGGGAATGGTAGTATTTGTGTTTTTTTT